TTTTGGACACTTCGGGATGCCGGCTTTTTAACGCGCGTCTTTCCGACCACCAAGAAAAAGCATGTACTATAAATAGTGACTACTTAAGTACTATGGCTTTTTGTGATTAATTTCAACAGCTTTTATAGATTCAAGTATATTTTTTGGAAAACATGCACGGAAATATTATTTCTTGTACTCGCTTGGTTGCAAAGTATGCCTTCTTTAAATTTTATACTTAAAGAAATGGTATCTTTCGGTTTTAAAGAAGTTCCTAAATTGCCGAATTATCTTGAAACATAGTGACCGCTACAACCTGCGCACTGTGTACATCCTGTTTAAGGAAAAGTACGTTTTCGCCTGCAGCTTGAGGAAGATCTTACATAGTTCTCACAAAATGTTGCAATGGATGTGGAGCATGTTTTATGCAGTAAAGGCAGCATTAACAAATGACGGATACGGTGTTCTCTGAATTAACACCTGAAAATTGAAAAAAAGCTCATAATTAAATTTTTTTAAAACAGTAAAGTACCATTTCTTTAAGTATAAAGTTTAAAGAAAGCGTAATTTACTACCGAATGAGTACAAGAACTAATTTTTTCGTGCATATTTTCCAAAAAATATATTTGAATCTATAAAGGCAGTCAACATTAGTGACAAAAAAGCCTAGAACTTAAGTAGTCACTTTTATAGTACATGCTTTGTCTTGGCGGTCGGAAAGAAGCGCGTTAAAAAGCCGGCATCTTAAAGTGTCCAAAATATGTTGAGATTAGGCTGTATGATCATCTCTATTACAGCCATCCGCAATTAATACCTTCCAATTCCAAAAATTCTTTGCAGAATTCCCGGTGCCATTTCATGAGATAGGGGATCTACTGTACGTGTCACCGTCACGTGCCCTAAGGCTGTAGGGCATACGGCTGCTCTCGTGAAAATCGTCGTCAAATATTGCCCGCGTGTTTAACCCACCTTACCTCGGACCGCCTTAGCTGTCCTTTTCACGGCTGTGCCATTTAGATTTCATTTAGGGCACCTTAAGTAAGTATATGGGATGCCAACTATCTTAGGTAGATCAGAAAAAGACAATCGAAGACAGCACGGAACATATACCAGATGGATCTGGTGACGGAATAGAACACAAAAGGCGGTTAATTTTCGCATTTAGCAGGTCCACATTATTTGACCGCATAAATGACTCTCTACTTAAGGAGGCAGTTGAGGTCTGGTCCACTGGGTATCAGCCCCCGTTTCTTGTTTTGTGGCCCT